CCTAGAAATATAAGCAGGGCGTCGGATATGGTGCTGAGAAACCTAGAAATATAAGCAGGGCGTCGGATATGGTGCTGACAAACCTAGAAATATTAGCAGGGCGTCGGGTATGGTGCTGACAAACCTAGAAGTATAAGCAGGGCGTCGGATATGGTGCTGACAAACCTAGAAATATAAGCAGGGCGTCGGGTATGGTGCTGACAAACCTAGAAATATAAGCAGGGCGCCGGATATGGTGCTGAGAAACCTAGAAATATAAGCAGGGCGTCGGATATGGTGCTGACAAACCTAGAAATATTAGCAGGGCGTCGGGTATGGTGCTGACAAACCTAGAAGTATCAGCAGGGCGTCGGGTATGGTGCTGACAAACCTAGAAATATAAGCAGGGCGTCGGGTATGGTGCTGACAAACCTAGAAATATAAGCAGGGCGTCGGATATGGTGCTGAGAAACCTAGAAATATAAGCAGGGCGTCGGGTATGGTGCTGACAAACCTAGAAGTATAAGCAGGGCGTCGGGTATGGTGCTGACAAACCTAGAAATATAAGCAGGGCGTCGGATATGGTGCTGACAAACCTAGAAATATAAGCAGGGCGTCGGATATGGTGCTGACAAACCTAGAAATATAAGCAGGGCGTCGGGTATGGTGCTGACAAACCTAGAAATGTAAGCAGGGCGTCGGATATGGTGCTGACAAACCTAGAAGTATAAGCAGGGCGTCGGGTATGGTGCTGACAAAGCTAGAAATATAAGCAGGGCGTCGGGTATGGTGCTGACAAACCTAGAAGTATAAGCAGGGCGTCGGATATGGTGCTGACAAACCTAGAAATGTAAGCAGGGAGTCGGATATGGCGCTGACAAACCTAGAAGTATAAGCAGGGCGTCGGATATGGTGCTGACAAACCTAGAAATATAAGCAGGGCGAACCGGATTCCCTGCACTTCTCTGCACGGTGAATTGCGGCACGTTAGATCGCGGGGCAAGCCATGCTCTTCCTTATTCAGACTCAGATGAAGCAAAACATAAGATGTACATCTCTATGCCTTGCTCGTAACAAAGGGCACCTAATACAGACAGGACAGCAGGAACGTTTGTGTCGTTAGCACCGACCATTGTTGGCTTCTATCCGCTTTTATAAATTCCGAAACCGTATTTATATCTGACAAACAGCAAACCTGGACATTTTTTAGTTATTTTCGGTGTTCTTAAGACAGGGGATTCCGATGTTTGTCCCATAGACCTCTCGTGCTCCGTGTATGCGGTTGTCCGGATAACAGAGATTCCACTGTACATGTCTGTCATGTTATTTAATGGTATTTAATTACTAAACACAAGTCTAAAGTGTATGTTGTAGTCAATTCGGTTCCCTTGTTTCCATAAAGAATGATCTTTTAATACATTGTACTTGACATATACTTTATTAAGCATAATTATATATTTACCATGTTATCCTAGACTGTCATATTGTTGTTGACAGCTATTCGTAGAAAGGGAAGAAAGAAATTGACAACTCGGCAACCAAAGACGTCACTGCGACCCGAATCTACGCCGAAATCTATACAGTCGGTCCCAGGTATATTTTTTGGGCAAATCTTCGTCTTATGTTTGTTTTAAAGTGACGTTATGCGGCAATCCAATTTGTTAAATACGTTTTATATCATAAGACATTCGAAATCGTCTAGACTTCTAGGTCGCGTATAAAAACCTTTAAATATTAGTTTCTTTATTAGTCATAAAGGTATTCATAATTGCGGATTTTTACAAGTACGTCCATAGTTTATAAACACCAGATTGAAATTCATTTATCATGTGTTCCAAATTATTAGATCTATTTGTGATTAATTACATAATGTAATAAGAAAACAAATAAAAAACAACAAATATGTTAAAATAAAGAAGCTAACGATATTTCATAAACGAGGTCGTTCAATCATGTATCATGTATACGATTTCTTGACAACAGCGAGCTGACACAGATTATTAACGCACATATCGCTGTTGAAAATGGGGCGTGTGTCATTGTTTACATTTCGCCTATGTGACGACGAATTGCATGCCTGGAAACAGCTTAAATAATGTTTTTAAAAAACGGGCGTTATTTTCGTGTCGTATACATTGCAAAAATAATTATGAAAATTTTACAAAATAATTGTAGCGCTGTCCTATAGTAAATACATGTCGTGGCCGCCATGTTTGTTTGTCTGGTGGAGGCTGCCAATGTGCAGTTAATTCCTTGGTCAGTGTAGCGCCAGCGCAGCATACCCAAGGAACCAGGCTGCCTTCCCCGTCCAAGAATATCATCTGGTCGCCCTTACCATGTAGGATTTTGCTGTTTGTGTGTCCTTGTGCCCTGTTGGCTGTATAGTGGTTCATGTCACTGTCCGACGTAATATAGTCTGAGTATAGCAGACAATACTCAAGCACTCATTCTACGGCACAGGTTGCTCCAATCACTTTGAGAAACTGCCGTCCGTTACAACATTGTACACTAACTTGACAAAGGCGCATGGAAGGTTAGCATGTAGTGAAGCCTGATGGTGTTATCAATATTTTTGGTTGCATTTTGGAAGCCCTGAGTAAAAACGCAACATAAAAAACGAATCGCCAAAACGCACCATTTCAATGAATATGTGGGTATCATGCACCCATTTCTCGCAAAATGGAAAATGCTCGAACTGTCACGAACTGTAGTGGGTATAAAACTGTGGCCGATTCTTGGACCTACCACTCATTGGTCAACAATGCCACGCCTAACTCAAATTCAGAGAAACCAGGCTATCGGACGTTTGGAGAGTCTGTCCAAGATGTTGCCTGTCATTTCAACGTTAACAGAACCACAATTTACCGTCTCCTGCATCGATACAATGCTACACAGACCATAGATGACCTTCCTCGGAGCGGTCGTCCTAGGGTCACCACACCTCGACAAGATCGGCAGATTACCCGTCAACACCAGCGACATCCGTTCCTAACTGCAAGTGAAAGTGCGCGACAGAGCATAGGAACACATAATCGACACATTAGCCGGGACACTGTGATCCGACGTCTCCGTTCCAACAACCTCAGATGTCGCCGACCAGCACGTCGTCTTGTTCTCCAACCACGGCATCGACAAGCACGACTTCAGTGGGCACAGGGTCATCGTCATCGTGGGTGGAGGGGTGTCATCTTCTCTGATGAAAGTCGCTTTTGTGTCTCCCATGCACGGAAGAGTCAGAATTGGGCGGCGTCAAGATGATCGTTTCGCTGACAGAAACGTTGTGGAAAGGGATCCATGGGGTGGACCTAGCGTCATGATATGGGCAGGGATTGGACTTAATGCGAGACTTGGACCCATGTGCTTTCTGAATGTTGGTCAAGGTCGGGGACACGGCGTCACTGCTCAGCGGTATATCGACCAAGTGATCAGACCCAACGTTGTTCCATTTTTTGCACAACATCAACAACACATTTTCCAGCAGGACAACGTTCGTCCCCATGTTGCCAGAGCTACCATGGCCTTTTGGCAACAACACAACATCCGTGTTCTACCATGGCCAGCCATCAGCCCTGATCTGAACCCCATCGAACACTTGTGGGATGAGGTTCAAAGGCGTCTGCACAATGTGCGCCCAGTCCCTACAACTGCCGATGAACTACGCACAGCTGCTCTGGATGTGTGCAGGAGGATCTACTCGATGTACAGGAGATGTGTGGCAGTGATCAATGCTAATGGTGGTCACACCAGGTATTGACTGACATTTTGGGTATTCACCCGAAACTGTGGAAGCCCTTAACATTTGACAAAAACAATTATGTCATCTGCCTTTTAATCCATTAAACTGTCTTCAGTCAAACGTTTGTCAATCCAGCCCTATTAGTATTTCTTGTCTTTACTGGTGAAAAAAAATAACATGTATACTGCATACTCGACTTGCTTTTCTTTTGCGTGTGAATATATATATATATATACTTGGGCTCAATGCTAATTTAACAGGATACAAACAAACATTTGTCCTTTTGGGTGTGATTTAATTTGTTTGTTTGCTTGTTTAACTTGCATATTTGTTTCAGAATGGGTACACAAACCTATCCTTTTATTACTACCGCTACCCTACCGCTACCCCACCACTACCCCATGAGTCTTGTTTTTCAGAGACTTGTGAGTTTGAGTATACAGCTCAGGACAATCTATTAGCACACGTGTTGGTATGGAGAGGGAAAACAACAGTGTCTTATTGCGAGATGTAACACCGGTATGTTGCTATAGAGAGGTAATACTGTCTCTTGTTGATTGGTATAACACCGGTACGTTGCTATAGAGAGGTAATACTGTCTCTTGTTGATTGGTATAACACCGGTATGTTGCTATAGAGAGGTAATACTGTCTCTTGTTGATTGGTATAACACCGGTATGTTGGTATAGAGAGGTAATACTGTCTCTTGTTGATTGGTATAACACCGGTATGTTGCTATAGAGAGGTAATACTGTCTCTTGTTGATTGGTATAACACCGGTATGTTGCTATAGAGAGGTAATACTGTCTCTTGTTGATTGGTATAACACCGGTATGTTGGTATAGAGAGGTAATACTGTCTCTTGTTGATTGGTATAACACCGGTATGTTGCTATAGAGAGGTAGTACTGTCTCTTGTTGATTGGTATAACACCGGTATGTTGCTATAGAGAGGTAAAACTGTCTCTTGTTGATTGGTATAACACCGGTATGTTGGTATAGAGAGGTAATACTGTCTCTTGTTGATTGGTATAACACCGGTATGTTGCTATAGAGAGGTAATACTGTCTCTTGTTGATTGGTATAACACCGGTATGTTGGTATAGAGAGGTAATACTGTCTCTTGTTGATTGGTATAACACCGGTATGTTGCTATAGAGAGGTAATACTGTCTCTTGTTGATTGGTATAACACCGGTATGTTGCTATAGAGAGGTAAAACTGTCTCTTGTTGATTGGTATAGTACGTTGTGTAGAGAGGTAAAACAATGGTCACTCATTGAGGGGTATAACAATAGTCTTTTATTGGAAGGTGTAACACCGGTACGTTAGTATATAGAGAGGTGGAACAATGGTCGGTTGGTTAGTGAGATAAAAAATGTGAATGTTTGTCTGGAATTAAAACAACCTTCTGTTGATATGTAGGCTGAGAGAAATATAACGCAACATGATAGGTATAGAGGTAAAACAGTAGTGCTGTTGTAATAGGGAGATATAACACAATCGTATGTTGGTATGAAGAGGTAAAGTGAGTGAGTGAGTAAAGATTTCAGTTTAACATCGCGTTGAAGAGCGGTTTAGTTATAATCACAGCATGACTGTTGTGTAAGTAAATATCGAAGTAACGCAGGTAGTAGCTATGGTGCTGACAGTGCAAGGATGAAGGTCACAAAGAACTTGGTTATCAAATCCACTCTCTTCGGATCCTGGCACAAGTTCGCCTCAGAATACTTGACGTCCCATTCCCCATAGGGAGCTAAATGTAGTTGTCAGAGAACAATAGCATTCATGTACAACACGTGTACATATACGTAGGTATTACATGTGTTTATTTGTGAGATCAGGCTCACCGTATCAGCCAGTGCATAGCACTATTAGTCAGTAAACGTTCACTAGAAGTAAACCTTCCTCTCGTAGGAAAATCTTTCTTTATCATCTTCAATGTATTTAAACTGTTCAATGTCAACTTCCTTACATTTCAAGAACCAAGAGATCATTTCTTGGCCCAGAGCACTGACCATGTACGAGTCATCTTTAAGATCTTTCAAAGCTTCTGGGAGGGATTTTGGCAAGAGATCGGCGTCCTTTAGATTCCCCGGAGGTGGACACACCAGCTTGTTCCTCACCCCGTCCAAACCGGCAGCAATGGTGGCCGCCATGACCAGGTACGGGTTGCTTCTTCCGCTCGGCATCCTGTTCTCCAGGTAAGTTCCTGAAGGTCCGTGGTTCTTGACACGGAGAGAGGTTGCACGGTCTTCAATATTCCAATAAATCCCCCCTGGTGCCCAAGGTTGATGGAGTCTTCTGTAGCAGTTTATTGTTGGGGAGGTTAAGGCAGCCAGTGCCTTGCTGTGTTTCAGAATTCCTGCTATCCATTGTTTAGCCATGGGAGATAGGTTGTCTGTGGAACTGACGTCATAAAATGCATTCTCACCAGTGTCTTTGGCTAGAATGGAGAGACTGTAATGACACCCTGCCCCCGACAGATCAGCATCAAGCTTTGACATGAATGAAGCCTTGAGGTCATTTTGGTCAGCTAATTCAAGTAGGCCCTGCTTGAGATTAAATGCAGCATCGACACCTTCTATTCCATATTTGGGTTCCAGGGCAGCCTCGAACATTCCGGGAGCATATTCGAGATGCATCTTTTCCACATCTATTCCAGATTGCTTGAGTTGATTGTCGAATTTATACACATATTTTCCACATTTATTCAATGTCTGCTGGCACAGAAATGATTTACCGGGGAAAACCGGAGTTAATGTATTTGCATCAAATAGAAAATATTCAATTTCAAAGCCGGAATACAACTGAAACCCTAGGTCGTCCAACTGTTTCAGCTGTTGCCGGGCAACATATCGCGGACATGCTGCCTGAGGAGAGAGATCTTTTTTCCAGCGTGACTCGCACAGAATTTCTGCGACCTTGAACGTATTTTCTCCTGCCCATGGAATTGGTCTCAGGGTGTCAAGATCTGGAACTAAAGTCGCGTTGCCATTGTGGTACTCTTTGTCATGTGGCAAGATCACGATCTCGTTGTTGTATCCAAATAGTAATATTTCTGAAATGATGCAAATGGTATTAAAGTATAAGTCACGCAATCCTAAAAGCAGAGACCATTGTACGATTACTATCATACCATAAGTATGTGTTTTGATTCACTATCAAATGGTGATGATACCAGGTGTTCGCGAAAATGTCAGCGTATCCTGCCCCACCGATAGCACCAGTATTTTGGTCATTGATACGTCATATTTGGAAATTCACATATGTGATAACAGAACACTTTTTTTAAATCTGTACTGGGGCAGTAAATCTTAGAAGAGGGGCGGAGGGCTTTTGGTTAAAGCGTTCGCTCGTCACGCCTAAGACCCGGGTTCGAATCCCGACATGGGTACAATGTGTGAAGCCCATTTCTGGTGTCCCCCGTCGTGATATTGCTGGAATATTGCTAAAAGCGGCGTAAAACCAAACACACTCACACTGAAATCTTAGAAGAAAGAATATTTTTCGAAGTAAGAATATGTTAGATTGTCCCTCAAAAGTTGTGACATACATACACCAAGTGACAGAACTGTTGGAATATTGCTTAACATTAAAGACAAAAAAGAGAAAAGCGACACAACCCTTTCCATATCCATATGCCTCATAGTCTACTCTTACACAAGCATAGTTTCCTCTTACACAAGCATAGTCTCCTCTTACACAAGCATAGTCTCCTCTTACACAAGCATGGGTTGCTGAAGACCTATTCTAACCCGGATCTTCACAAGGCCAAGCACGGGTTGCTGAAGACCTATTCTTCCACGGATCTTCACGGATGTAGACAAGCATGGGTTGCTGAAGACCTATTCTATCCCGGATCTTCACGGGGTTTAGATATACTACTGCTGTCAGTTTGTTGTAATGTCTCTTAAGGGGCGACTTAATCGTGTATATAAAGTTTCGTTCATCACAACAAGTAGAAGTAGTTCCTGAAAAAACTGCCATCATCGGGAAATGTATTTGTCAATGAGTATAGGCTTCAGAGGACACCCTGCCGGGAACGTGAGCTGATTATGTGTTATCGTACACCGACGGCTATGAGCGTTGCTAAGAATATTAATCACTGGTTTGTCTGGACCATATTCGGTTTTTACAGCGGTGGCCATATAGCTGGAATGTTGCTCGGTGAGGCGTTAAACTTCAGCTGGAATGTTGTTGGGTGATGCGTTAAACAACAGCTGGAATGTTGTTGGGTGATGCGTTAAACAACAGCTGGAATGTTGTTGGGTGATGCGTTAAACAACAGCTGGAATGTTGTTGGGTGATGCGTTAAACAACAGCTGGAATGTTGTTGGGTGAGGCGTTAAACTTCAGCTGGAATGTTGTTGGGTGATGCGTTAAACAACAGCTGGAATGTTGTTGGGTGATGCGTTAAACAACAGCTGGAAAGTTCCTGGGTGAGGGGTTAAACAACAGCTGGAATGTTGCTGGGTGAGGGGTTAAACAACAGCTGGAATGTTGCTGGGTGAGGCGTTAAACAACAGATAGAGTGTATGTGGTATACCAAGATGACTATTCACAACAAAGTTTAGCCCTGACACGTCGCTGCGAATGAGGTGATGGATTGTGTTTGTTCTTTTGTGCGGCGCTCCAGTACATGTGCTAGTTTCTGTATGAAGCAAGTGCTTCTATATACTAGTATCAAGATAGTGGATGATAAAATGATAAAGAAGTTGCTATCCATAAATGTTAAATGTCTTCAGAGTTAGGTTCTGTTGACCAAACGTTTCAGGAATCAGCATTAGATGAATGTTATTATAAGATTTTGAAATAGTTAGAACCTTAGGATGTAGATGTAAAATTAACTATCCTTTGAGATTTGATACTAACCAGCTGGCGGTGTGACGTGGTCTATGCACCTGCGTCTTGTTGACCAATTCACTTTAACGACGACCGACTTTCAGACATCGGTCTGAGGGAAATAACTCCCAGTATGGAGACACGGTGATACGGTACTCTGCACACAATGGGCGGCATTCACGCAACAGGCGAGGTTAAGGTGAGGCGCTGTGATTGTATACCGCCACCCCACCCCTGCAACGCTCGCTCGCTCTCTCTCTCTCTCTCTCTCTCTCTCTCGCTCTCTCTCTCTCTCTCTCTCTCTCTCTCTCTCTCTCTCTCTCTCTCTCTCTCTCCCTCTCTCTCTCTCTCTCTCCGCATATGGACATCACATTAATCAAATACTACAATACTTTATCGTTGCTTACCTTCATACAGGTCCAATCCTCCAAGGAGGTATTTTTCAGCGTAGCGACGGTGCATCGCCGGACCACGGCTTGTGCCATTGATGTCACAGACAGCGAACCTGATGTAGTCGTAGTTGGCGACTGCGACACGAGCCTGCTCTATCTTGTCCATGGTTGTCCCGGACAGGTCAGTTAGAGACTAGAATATATCAAAGCTTACCGCGTCTAACTGTTTATAGTGTATGCGGTCAGTCAACCGTGTGCCCTTTGAAGGGACAGCTGTATTTTTATAATCCTACAGGAAATAAATATGCCTGGGGCCATGTTGCAATGGTAGGGTCATACAGTATTTTATTTCCTTTTCTGGCCACATTGAGTACCACTGTTTTTCACATAATTCATCAAAATATTCTTCAGAAGTTCAGGTTTAAATATTCTATACAGCTTTTGATGATTCAAATATTTCAGAAGACCATATTTGTAAATATTGATCTTGTAATCTTTTTGACCCAATACGTTTCAGTGAATGGGCGGAATTAAAACAATGTGAATGCCATATATACATCAAACCAGTCTTAATAAAGGTAGATTCATTTGACAATAACCGTTTATTCCTATTACCTTCAGCACGCTTACCGTTTAATAACAGTTTGTACAATACATAGGAGTTTCAGTTGCTTTTCCTGACACGATACGGGGCCCAAAACGACAACATACGTGCATATATTTGGATATAACGGTATTTTCTGCAAGTTCCCCGTATATGATATATGATGAGGTGGGTTATTTTAAATTGTGTTCAACTGATGTAAGTTCAGCAATTTTGACATGATTATGATTGCAACTCATTAATTATGCAATCACGATGAGCACCGTCACCAGAAACTGACTATAACTAGTTCCCTTATTGTTCTACGGTCTACTGATTACTGTTGTTTCATCAATGTTGGTCACAGTGGTTACGTCACCGTTAACATTGGGGTCACAGTGGTTCGTACAAGTTCAACAGTATTAACACAACCCCTGTCGCAGTTTATCTGGTCGTGGATTGTCCCGGCAGTTAAGTCATCAAAGGCTGCAATATCACACCTACAGCTGCATCACAGCGGTCTCTGTATCACGAAACCTGAGTCGAGATAACATTCATCAGCGGTTATCTTCCGCATGACTTTCCACATGACGAGAACAAGATACTTATTATGTCTTTGAAAGGCATTTACAAGTGATACACATAGAAAGAGAATTTATGGATGTCAACTTCTTTCGGAGTATATGCTTACTCCTTCATCACCTGATGAAGAAGTAAGCATATACTCCGAAACGTTGTTTTCCTCAAAATAAAGAAATTGACATCAATAAATTCTCTTCCTTGAGATACTTATTTCTACCACAGTTCCCTCGTTGGGCCCGGCTAAGGTAACGACTTTAAGTCCCACCTCAAACGACTGAGTATTTATTGTGTTTGCCACAGTTAAAATTAAATGCAGCTTTTGATAACAATCTATAAACAATGATCATACCATTCACAGGACCAAACGTTTCGTATTTCTTTCGAATATTGCTCATAACCGATATACGAACTGATACGTTTTGAATGCGTGAGCACATTCAAACACCATGCAATACTAAACGAACTGTGCTGTGATGTATTCCACATATCAATGTAACAAGTACATCATGTGTATAGCCTCTATACAAAACTCCAGTTGATATATCTTGACACGGACTTCTGAAATGCTACACATGTGTGGACATATTACTGAAAGATCGATGTGAACACCGGTTGAAAGATCGATGTTAACATCGGTTGAAAGATCGATGGTAATACCGGTTGAAAGATCGATGTTAACATCGGTTGAAAGATCGATGTTAACATCGGTTGAAAGATCGATGTTAACACCGGTGAAAGATTGATGTTAACACCGGTTGAAAGATCAATGTTAACATCGGTTGAAGTATCGATTTTAACACCGGTTGAAAGATCGATGTGAACCTCGGTTGAAAGATCGATGTTAACACCGGTTGAAAGATCGATATTAACATCGGTTGAAAGATCTATGTTAACATCGGTTGAAACACACACGGAAATTACCCACGTTTAGTGCGATGAAATTCTAGTTGGAGATATTCTAGGGTACACTGAGTAAGAACTGCTATAATTCATACCTGTATAACTGCTAGCCACGTGGACGGAGATGAAACTGCTGATACAAAGTTCTTCTGGTGCAACCAGCATGTTGAGTGCACAGATGTTCGGTGCGACAACTGTCACAACAATCGATTCAGGACAACCAGATATCACATATGGCCCATTTTGTTATCTCAGTTCATTTCAACATTACAATAATTAATCACTTGTTTTGAGAAGTTGACAAGTAATCAATGAGTTGGTATGTAAATATTGGGAACACCGAATAGCTTCATTGCAAAATGACAAATGGACTTGTGAATGTGCACGTTTTATGCCACTTTTAGCAATATTCCAGCAATATCACGCGGGGTACACCAGAAATGAGCTTCACACATTGTACCCATGTCGGGAGTCCTCGGCGTGACGAGCGAACGCTTTAACCACGAGGCTACCCGACCGCCCCCGAGGGTGGAGGACATGATCAACATGTAAATTGTGTAATGAGTATTCATTGTAACAAATATTCTGTCAAATAAATATTGCAACAAACCGAACATTTGTACATTTTGCAACGATTGAGTAACAAGTTCGATTGTCATTAAAGTGTTCACCTATCGGCGCATCTACATGATCAGACATTACAAGAGCAGTATTCACGCTAAGACAAGTTAGCCAACCTTATTTAGACAGCCTGTAGCCAGAAATGCAGAGAGATGTAGTTTTTAATCCCTTACATGTATTCCATCGTACAGGGCGCTGACAACGTGAGAATAATAAAGTCGAAAGCCTTGAGAGACAATGAGGGAAAGTTGTTGCCCTAAGCCTAGCTAGGGTTCAGGCCAGGTGCCCCGGGGCACATACCCCATAGTCATTACCACTGTGTGCTGACCTGGTACATAGTGTTTCTTTCACATTCATGCCCGTATATGAGCAAGCTTGTATATAACCCAAGCCATGACACTACTGATGTTCCTTCCGACCAAGAAGCGTATATCGATCCCTCACATACTGGTATATGTAAATATTACTAATCTACGCCACAAGCGTGTCATACACACTCGCATACTCGCATACTCGCATATCTCGCCTTACAGCTCGTCTCAAATGACAGGCTTTCTCGTCGGCGTGAAAAACTCAGTTGGAAGAGCGTTTATATGGCATCTGTTCTAAATAAGACGTGTTTCTAAACGGTTGGTTTTAATTTAAGTACGTTGTCCCTTTGATCGGAGGAACCTACGCATTGCAAAGGAACTATTTCAAAGTCAAAGGTGCATTCTTGAGGCAAATGAGTACTGCTCTCCATGTTGCTATTATAGGTACACATTGCACATTTCTGTTGTGTACAATTGACACTGTATGTCATCTCGTTTGATTGTATACTAATTTGTAATGTAACAAATTGAAATACTGACATCATTTTGTCATCACAGAAATAGATACTTCAGGCCGATTTTAAAAAGGAATGAGACTGGTGTGTGTAGGTATTTGGGGGCGCCATATCAGTAGACCTACGTATACATGCTGGCAACGTTTGTCTGCGTGTATGTATGAGGACTGACAGATTATACAGTATTATACCATGATCTTCTCGGAGGTCGGTAACCAAAATGTGAGAAATATGTATTACAAGTATTCAACATCCATGGTACATTCATGCTCATGGGCGAATGAGCGATGCTTCACAAAGATCACGCCCTGTGAGCCTAAAGCCTAAATTTATGCAGGTCTTAAACCTTCACTACTTTCCTCAAACCCATAAGCACGTTTCTAACCCACGCCCCATGCCCCAGGAGCAGATCCTAGCGAATATTTACGCTGGTAATGTAATTAGTATGAACGGATGAGATTTAGAACTAGGTGTACGAACGTATTCTTGTCTAAATGATATCAAGTCTGGTCCGATGAATCATGCTCTTATCGCAAGACTGCGAAGTTAGAGGTCAAGGTGCGGTTCTTCTTAAAAGGCGACATATCCAATATAATCAGGCTCCCAAACATGATGCAAAATCGTGGCTATACTGAGGCAAGGTAAACTATGCTGCTCAAAGCCTGTTAGAATACACTTATGATGTAATCCTCAACCTTTAAGTATGTACGGTAAATGGAATAAAATGCAGCCGTTAACGACATATGTCTGCATTTACATATTTAACGTCACGTCAACAGGGAAACTGTGATCAGTAAGAGTGCATGATATACAAGATTAACGACATCAGTCCTACGTAGAATAGGTGGAGCCATAGGTCGCCCAGTCGTCCGAGGCGCCAAAATTCGCTGTGCAGAGTTGCGCCCCTTGGGCACGCCAGAAACCTAATATTATGGGTCCGAATCGCGGTTCACCCCGATTATGTTTCTAGGTTTGTCATCACCATACCCGTGCTCGTGGGTTTCATCAACGTGGTAAACGTCTTGGGCCTGCTTCACCTCGGGCTTTCCTCCAACGCCATGATATAACTTGATTACTGTTTAGCCCCGTAAAGATCCGGGGTAGAATAGGTCTTCAGCAACCCATGCTTGCCGTAAGAGGCGACTAACCGGATCGGGCGGTCAGGCTCGCCGACTTGGTTGATGCATGTTATCGTATCCCAACTGCGTGGTTCGATACTCATGATGTCAATCACTGGGTTGTCTGGTCCAGACTCAATAATTTTTCAGAACTTGCTTGTTTGAACAATAATGGATTAAAACTTAAAGTGCATTGACCTTAGAAATAGTTAATTTATGTGATTGGTTCTATATTATTTTGTTGTTTATACAGTAAGTAGTATATACTCAGTCTAATGCTCACAACATCTGGTCTACGAAGCAACATCTTACCACTGAACTAAACTACCTCAAACAAGTATTCACACAGTACAACCACTACCCCGAGCAGATAGTACAACAGACAATAAAGAACATCACCAAGAAATCTCCCCGTCAACAATCTGCACCCATGTGCGATCAGCCCCCCTTCTTTGGAACAGTTAGCCAAAACTGACTCTTAAAGAAACAGGCCAACATTGATGTAGTCAAGAGAAGTCACACCATTTGGAACACAATTAAAGCCACAGGAAAACCACCATCCAGCCACAAGCTGGTACCATCAGGAGCAGTGTACCACATTCCGT